CGACTGTACTTATAGAATCAAAATAAAAAAATTTGATCAAATTTAGTTTGGTGGTTGTTGTGATATCTTCATTTAAATTTTTTAAAAAAATTTACTACAGCTTGAATTTAATATATGATTTAATTTATTGACAAACTTTAAACGAATATACCTTGACAACCATAAAACTAAATTCAATAAAACTTTTTTATTTTAATTCTGTATACTTGTAGAATCAAAATAAAAAAAAGTTATTGAATTTAGTTTGGTGGTTGTCAAGATATTTTCAGTTAAAGTTTGTGAAATCATCTATTAAATTCAAGCCATAGTAGAATTTTTTAAATTTTAACGAAGATATATTGACAACCACCAAACCAAATTTGATAAAAAAATTTTTTTTTGATTCTATAAGTATGTACAGTCAACTCCCTCTAAGTGCAATGTGATGGGACCATATGTAAAAATTTTGCAAAATGTGCACTTAGAGAGATATTGCATTTAGAGGAGTAAAAATCTATAAGCAAATATTTTTTATTTTTTTTACCATTTTTGCTAGTTGGGACCAAGAGAAGGCTTGCATTTAGAGAGATCTTTCATAGAACTTGCACTTAGAGGAGTTGCACTTAGAGAGAGTTGACTGTATAAGCAAAGTAAAAAAAAATTTCATCAAATTTTAAAAAATTCTACAACGGCTTGAATATAATAGACGATTTAATTTATTGACAAACTTTAACCGAAGATATCTCGACAATCACCAAACTAAATTCAATAAAAATTTTTTATTTTGATTCTACAAGTATACAATAAATTCAAGCCGTAGTAATTTTTTTAAAATTTAAACGAAGTTATCTCGACAATCTCCAAATAAATTTAATGAATTTTTTTATTAATATATAGAATCAAAATAAAAAAAATTCATCAAATTTCGTTTGGTAGTTGTTGTGATATCTTTGTTTAAAGTTTATCAACAAATTAAACTGTATTAAAATTGAAGTAGTAATGGATTTTTCTAAACTTTAAATGTAGATATCTCGACTACCGCCAATCCAAATTTGATTGTGATTTCACATACCATATAGTTCCGAAATTAAGCACCACCCCTCTACCCCAATTTTTTGAATCTCAGATTAGCGGGAGTAATTTGGCCAAAGATCTTATTACAAATTCCGCTAATCTGAGATTCAAAATTTGGGGTAGAGAGGTGGTGCTTAATTTCGGAACTATACGGTACCTGTTTAATCAAAATAAAAAAATTCCATCAAATTTTGTTTGGCGGTTGTTGAGATATCTTTGTTTGAAGTTCGAAGTTGTATATGTGCATTTAATTCTATTGGTCAAACTTTAATGTATCCAAAATTTTTTATGAAATAGAATTGTGCCTTACGGCTAAGAAAATTTTAACTTCACAATTAGAAAGTTAAAGCTGTTTAATGAAATCCTTAAACCATATCATCTTGCTGAGTTGCTTGCAGAATAGACAAATGGGTAAATCGAAATCGAGATTGGTTATATGAATTGGCCTGGTCTTCATCGTTTTTATCATAATATCATTATTTTCATTGTCATATTCATTAGTTAACATCATTTCCATTGAGATATTTTCGCTCAAAGTTTTAGAAAAATTTGACGCAGCTTTTTTATTTGATAGTCGCTTTTGACTTTTCAAAACCTTTGAGCGAAGATATCTTGATAACCATCTAACAAAATTCAATGAGATTTTTTTTGAATTCTAAGAATCTGTAGAATTCAAATAATGAGTGATTATTGAGATACCTATGCTCAAAGGTTTAGAAAAATCAAGAAAACATTAAAATAAAAAGTTGCATCAAATTTTTCTAAGACTTTAGCGAAGATATTTCGATAACCACTTAACAAAATCCAATGAAATTTTTAAACAAAAAAATTTTTATCGAATTTGCCAGGTGTATATAGATATTCTCGCTCAACTTTTTAATATCTATCAAAATAAAAGCTGTGCAAAATTTAAGAATTTGAGTGAGATATCTCGATAACCACCTGGCAAAATTCGATGTAACTTTTTTTTCAGTGATTCTGAAAATTTGTAGAATATAAATAAAAAAATTATTGAGTTTTGTCAGGTAGTTATCGAGATATCTTAAATTCAAAGGTTTAGAAAAATCAAAACCATTTATCAAAATAAAAGTTGCACCAAATTTTCTAAAATTTGAAAAGATATCTCGATTACCACCTAATAAAAAATTTTTTATTTGAATTCTACAAGTCTGTAGAATTCAAATGAAATATTTTTTTTATCAAATTTGGTCGGGTGGTTATCGAGGAATCTTTGTTCAAAGTTTTAGAAAAATAAAAGCTGCACCGATTTTTCTAAGATTTTGGGCGAATTAAATCTGATCAGGTGATTATCGATATATATGTTGTGCCTCAGATTAATGCTTGCGTCAGATGTCAACTTTTTGGCCCGCATTAACTGATCGATATTGATTGACTTAAATTAAGCCCAAATCCTTCCCAGATTCTTACCCTAACCCTAATCTAACTTAGGCCGGTTTTAATCTGACGCAAGAATTGATCTGAGGCACGACATATATACTGTAAAAAACTAAGAGCACAGCAAAACACGTGACTTATCTTCTTATCAGCACAGCAATGATCGACATAAGCACCCAAATTTTAGATGCAAATTTAAAATTGTTTATAAAGATATCTCGGCAACTTGCCGACAAAGTCAATGAATTTTTTTTATTATGATTCTACAGAGTTATATAATCATAATAAAAAAGGTCATCAAATTTGGTTTGCTGGTTGCTGAGATATCTTCAATCTAAGTCTTGGAAAATTCAAAACGCCTATAATAGATGTAGAAAACTTTTGTAAATTTGAGCAAGAATAACTTGGCAACTGGCTAACCAAATTTGAATTCGGTTCTACAAATATTGTAATTAAAAATAAAAGGAATTCATCGAATTTGGTCAGCTGGTTATCAAGTTATCTTCGCTTAAAGGTTATAAAAATTCTGCCAGCTATTATTTTGATAGGCGTTTAAATTTTGTAAAAATTTAAACAAAGATAACTCATCAAACACTCAACCAAATTAGATGAACTTTTTTTAATTTATCATACAATACTGTAGACTCGAAAATAAAAAAGCTCATTGAATTTGACTGAATGGTTGCTGTTTTATAAAAATTTAAAACGGCTATCAAAATAATGGCTTCAGCAAAATTTTATAAACTTTAAGTGAAGATAATTTGACAAACAATCAATCAAATTCTATGAAATCAGTTTATTTCGATTCTCTAGTATTTTATAATAAAAATCGAATTTGGCTGGGCAGTTGCTAAGTTATCTTCGTTCAAAGTTTTACAAAATTTAAAACACCTATCAAATGATAACTGCGGTAAATTTTTATAAAAGTTAAGCGAAGATAACTTCGGCAACCACCTAATCTAATTTGATGAACATTTTTATATCTTTATTTACAATACTGTAGAATCGAAATAAAAAAAAGTTCATCAAATTTGGTTAGGTATTTACCACGTTCAAATTTTACCAAACATATCTGCTGATTTGAGTTTTTGGGCCTTTTTTCGATAAACTGTTACACGAAAATTTGCTTCTAAGTGACGTTAAAAATTAACAAACGAAGCACTTGTTACAACTAATAAAAAGCTTTCTTGACGTCTTGACAAGTTAAAAAAACCAATAAACCCCAATAAAAGAGCTATGTTAAGCTGTAGAAAGAAGTATTTTTACCGTTTGTTGAAATACTCGGGTATTTTAGGATGGGTTGGGCATTGTCTGATAGTTGGTAACTATCAAGGATAAATTTGGAAGCTAATTTTCAAAAAAATGGCCTTTTTAACCTACTTTTGGCTTATAATTAAATACACAAATTTCATAAATTTCTATATACTTACTTATAAATACAAAGCTGGTTATAAAGGCTGTTTTTGTGAAAATTCGCTCTATAATAAATTTTCGTGTAAAATTTTTTTAATAATCCTCGATTATGATTGGTCGATTTTCAAATCGGCCGATATGATTTTCTGCATAGGCGTTTTAAATTTTTCAAGACTTTGAACAAAGATACCTAGGCAACCAACCAACCATATTCGATAAACTTTTTTATTATGATTTCACAGCTCAGTAGAGTCAAAATAAAAAAAAAGTTCATAAAGTTTGGTTGGCTGGTTGCCTAGATAACTTCGCTCAAAATTGCAAGCAATTTTAAAATTTTGAGGAGCTCATGTCAATCGTTGCTGCAGAGACCCGTAAAAATTTGATACAAATTAATGCAAATTTAGCAAATTAAACCAAATTTCTAAGGGTGAAATTCAGTGTATTCTATAAATTTGATTAGCTAATAATGTCGGATAGTCCAAAAATTTCCGAAATAGAAAATGAATGAACCTAGGTCAGATCAAAATTTTGAGTAAATTTCTGATGCTTTCCGAAAAAGAAATGAAGAAATCGCAAATTAATATAAAGTTAATATCTTATTACAAATTAATACAAATTTTTGCAATAACGCAAATAAAGATTTCGTTTAACACAAAATTTTGGGAAGATTAAAGAACACTGAACCCAGTGATCATCACAGTATCACATGACAATCACTCGGCCTAGGTTAGTTTAGGGTTTAGTTTAGGCCAGTTTGTTTAGTTCTGGTAAACAAATGACGTCATGATATGTTTATCATGTGATTGTGATCACTGGGTTCAGTGATCCAAAATTTTGAAGATAAGTCATGTGTTTTGCTGTGCCCGTAGCTTTTCCCGACTTCCCCCCAAAAAATGATATACATCACACCTCCCTAAGTGCATCCTGTCGGGACTATAGTGAAAAAAATTAAAATTTTGCACTTAGAGGGTGTTTGCATTTATAGAGTAAAATATATAGAACTCTTATTGGGGCGGGTGCGACTGTACAACACAATTTTTGGCTACCCCTAAACGGGACCCGATCTACATCGTGTAACTTTATAACTGACGATAAATGAATTTTTTGAAAAAAAAAAAAAAGGAGGGTGTTCGTATGGCCTAATAGCTATCAGTGCTAAAGACCACTGGAGCCAAAAACAATAAAAAAAAAAAAAAAGAAATCATACAGTAGTACTGTATATACTGCTGTAATACTATCCTGATGCTTCAACCTCAGGATTTATAAGGCCAAAGAACTCCAATACCTGTAGGCCGGATCGAACACGCGATCGCACAATCCCACTATGCAACCTGCCTTCACCGTTAATCCACATCAGAATAGTTTTAAATAAATTTTTTATCATTATTTAACACTAAAAAAATACTTGAATAATGTAGATCAATTGCCAAATAATCACAAGATCATGTATGTACTGTACGTAATCGTAAAATTTTTTTTTAATTCAGTTGAACGTTAACTTTAAACAATACAGTGCAGTTTTAAAATCTTTTAACTGTTTCAAGCATTTTCAGGATTTTGGAAGTTCAAGACTCTTCAACAGTTTAAAGACCTTTTCATCAGTTTAACACTTCTCGCCATTTCAACCAGTTTCAGAATTTTCGACATTCTTAAGATCCTCTTAAGATCCTTTACCCGTTCTGCTTGAATCAGGGCTTTTCTGACGAAGAATCACAAAAAGAAAAGTCTTGAAAAGCAAAACCTAAACTGGTACTTAATATTTGTCCAGTTTCAAGTCAGAATCTTTATTCCTGCAGGTTTCAACGAAGCTAAATCTAACCAGAAAAAAATATTTATCATATTGTAGGGTCCCACGTTCAAATCTTCATTACAAAATTAATTCACAATCAGCAGCTTATAAAAAAAAAAGAGAGAGAGATTAATGAAAAGAAATAATAGAATTGTGTACTTATCCAATACCCATTCCTACATCAACCCAAATAAATGAGACCTACAAAAGAAAAATAAATATACAGCGAGGAAAGAAAAGCACTTATTCAGTTACCGGATCCAAGAAAATTTCTTTAATGTTAAGGTGAAACCCTATGTTAAGGTATTAATGGCGCCATTATTATTTTTATCTCTTGGCCGATTCAATTCACATAACTTTTTTATGTGCTTCCACTAGGTGATTGACTTTGTTCTCAAGCGCCTCCCTGCATAGATTGTGTTTAATTATTTCTGTTGAAAAAACCCGAGCTAAAATTTAGAATCCTTATTTCGGACAATAGGGGGTTTTAGAACTAAGGTTCCGATTTCTGATTTCGAATTAAATTAGCGACGTATTTATTTCGAAATCAGTGATCTATAAATATTATTTATTTTTATTGGTAAGCTTATTTACATAATAATGAATACTTTTACGATCATTTTAAAAAAAAGACGTTTGCTTATTTTATCTCTATTTCATTTCCGATTTCAAAATTTCAAAACAAAATAGAACTTTTCATACTCCCACTTATTTTCAAAACAGCTACCCCTAATAATTTATTCGACAAATTGTTCTAAGAACAATTTCAATTAATCGAAATCGACCAAAACCTATGGGTAGGTATTAATGGCACCATAATTATCTTTATCCTTTGGCGAATCCGCTCATAGAACTTTTTCATGTACTTCCACTATACTATTTAATTTAGGTGATTGACCTTGTTCTCAACCGCCTCCCTTCATGGTTAATGAAATTATCATGGCTTGTTAAAAAAAATGAATCGTGCTTAATCATTTCGATCAAAAAAACCCCCACGGACTAACAATCATCATTTTCAGAGTTATCTAATTTTCTGAAATTTAGAATCCTCATTCGCACATGATTTATTCGCAAAATTGTAATACGGATAACTTCGATTAATCGAAATAATTAAGTAGCATCTCGATCAGAAACTCTATGGGTAGGTATGGGTGGCACTATAATTATTCCTATTCCTTGATGCCCATTCACATAACTTTTTCATGCACTTACTTCCACTATATTTATTAATCTAGGTGATTGATCTTGTTCTCAAGCGTCCTTTAGTTAATAAGATGATCTTGACTGGTCAAAAAATGAATCGTGTTCATCAGGAAAATCTTTTTGGTGCAGATCTATGCAAATTTGCAAAATTTTGCTATATAAAAAATTTGTAAATTTGTGCAAATCTTCAAACCTGGTAGCTATTTTCACAGAAAATAAAATTTTTGCAGATTTGCACTAAAATTTTTCTCGATGATGTAAAAATCTGTTTTCACAGAATATTGCAGATCTGAATAAAAAAATTTTCCGATATTTAATCATTTCAGTCATAAAATGGATCTAGCCCTTTTTTTTCTTGTAGGATTATCTGAATGGTTGAAATTTAGAATCTGCGTTTTGTACAACCGAAATGATTGAGAAGCACTTCGATCATTGGCAAATCAAATCGAGAGAGCTACCTTGAATAGCTGAATATAAGTATTGCATTTCCCATATTTATCTCTTTAAAGATAATGCATAAAATAAAGGTTTCGTTTTAAAATAAATACTTTAGTGTATAACGTATATATTATATAAATGCCCAAAAATAAAAATTAAAATAATTTAGCACCAATAAAATTGATGCAAATAAATGTTTTTTACAGTGTCGCCAATTAAGAACTAGCGATTCTGTTTTTAAATTTATTTTCCATTTTAAGTGACTTTCAAAAATTATAAAAAATAATGGTGGTTGTTATACGTACCCCAATTTTGTTAACCGTACCCCCTGATATATCAAAATTTTTTAACCTTTGAGCGATGTTATCTTGATAACCACTAAGTTAATTTTAATAAAATTTTTTTATTTGAATTCCACGAATCTGTAGAATTCAAATAAAAAAATTTCATCGAATTTGACTTGGTAGGTGTTGAGATATCTTCACTCAAAGCTTCAAAATGTCTATCAAAATGAGAGCTGTTCTAAATTGTTATTAAACTCTGAGCGAAGATATCTTGACATCCACCAAGCCAAATTCAATATTCTTTTTTTTTATTTAAATTCTACGAATACGTAGAAGTCAAATAAAAAAAAGTTCGCCAAATTTGGCTTGGTGGCTGTCGAGATATTTTCGCTCAACGTTTTAAAAAAATTCAAGGCATCTATCAAAATAAGAGCTGCACCAAACTTTTCTTAAAACTTTGAGCTAAGATATCTCGACACCCACCAAGCTAAATTTGATAACTTTTTTTTTATTTAAATTCTACGAACCTGTTGATTCAAATAAAAAAACGTTCATCGTATTTGGCTTAGTTGATATCGAGATAACTTCATTCAAAGTTTAAAAAATTCAAAACATCTATCAAAAAAAAAAGACTGCGCCAAACTTTTCTTAAACTTTGAGCGAAGATATCTCGACATTTACCAAGCCAAATTTGTTGAACTTTTTTTTTGTTTGACTTCTACGTAATCGTAGAATTTAAATAAAAAAAGTCATTGAATTTGGCTTGGTGGCTGTCGAAATATCTTCACTCAAAGTTAAAAAAAAAGGTTGGCACAGCTCTTCTTTTTGATAGACGTTTTGAATTTTTTAAAACTTTGTGTTATATTATCTCAAGAACTACCAAGCCAAATTCAATGAACGATTTTTATTTGAATTCTACAGACTTGTAGAATTTAAATAAAAAAAAGTTTATCGAATTTGTCTTGGTAGGTGTCGAGATATCTTTGCTCAAAGTTTAATGATTTTGATCGACGTTTTGGATTTTTTAAACCTTTGAGTGAAGATATCTCAACACCCACCGAGTCAAATTCGATTAAGTTTTTTTTATTTGAATTCTACAGATTCGTAGAATTCAAATAAAAAAAAAGCTTATTAAAATTAACTTAGTGGTTGTCGAGATAACATCGCTCAAAGCTTAAAAAAAAATCGATATACAGGGGTACAGTTAACAAAATTGGGGTACGTATAACAGGAAATTATAGCAACAAGTTCTACGCCTGCCCTTGCGCTGGGAGTTTTTTTTAAATATTTCTTGTCATGGTTTATTGGTCGTCAAGAGTGTTCTTTCGTACAAACTAATCGTGCAAAGCAAATCGAATAAACATATGGACGAAAATTTAATAATATTGTTGTACTGAGTAAGGGTGTTCTCAAGCACTTCACTCAATGGATCGGAAGTAAATTTTCAATTAGCGGGAAATTAAATTAACCAAATGAGTTACCATTTCGATGAGCAAATAAGCGAGACACAACCCACCTTTTTTCTTCAAAAATTTACATCGATAAAGGTCTCTCAAGCATTCTTTTTACATATTTTACATATTAAACATAATAAGCAATTAATTCTCAAGAAATTTCTAACTGATGTAAAAAGATTGTCACTTTATTTAAAATGTTCGAAGCTTTTAAAACGATAAATTATTATAAATATAACAGTCTTTTAACGTTTAACCAAACCATAATGAATGCTGTTTTCCATTTTTCACTATTTAAATTTTCAGTAAAGACCTAAAACTGAAAGGTTGGGTAGATGATTTTCCATATTTGATGGATAATAAATAAATTTAAATTGTTAAATTCACTAAAAGGAAACTTTAACTGTTGGTTGTAGAAAAATTTTTTCATTAGGTTTTTAGGTAGTGTCATGGTGATATACAGTATGCGGTAAACTTATATAGGAATAAGAGTAAAGCAAACGATCAATTGATATCTTGTGCATGTGATGCACATGATGAGTAAGTGATCGATCGAGGATTAAGGGATCGAGTAACGATCAATTATGCAACCGTCGGTATTATGTGATATTATACCGAAGTAAGTAATCAGTATTCATGAAATATGATGTAGTTTATGTGGTAATGTGAGAGTCAAACGATCGTATGATCAAATTATGATGTAAGTAATGTATGTATATAAGCGAAGAGAATGTAGTAATAGTTAGAGTTAGTTAGTATTAGTCTCTCTCTTAATTAATAAAGTGTATTTTGAGTAATAAACAAAATACTTACCTTAGTATAAACCTTGAAATCGGTTATAGCAAAGCGATTAAGTGCTTGCCATTTGGTCTAGGTTGTTTGTGATGAAAGCCATTGATTAACCCGTAACAGTAGTAAACAAACATTACGAAAAACAGAAAAAGTATGCACAAGAATTTAATTCTATAAATATTATCATCAATTGTGGTGCTTGAGCATCATTACGATTATTATCTGATCAATTGATTTAGATGTATGAGAACAGCCTAAGTTGATGTTCTAAAAATCTGCAGAAACATATGAGTGCCGCTAAGAGAAAACCTACAAGTTTTACTTTTTGTATATTTACTTTTAATAAAAATATCTTTAAATCAGGCAATCTAAAACCCATACTTTTAATATAATT